TTAGTGTGGGTGCTTTGTTATGCAGTTTTTCAAAGGGAGAAATGTTATTGTGCACAAATGATGGGATTCTATTAATGATATGAGTGGCAGCAGTAACACAGTCAATCCAGAAATGTAAAGGCATATGGGCATGGAACAGAATGGCTCTAGCAACTTGGAGTAAGTGTTGATGCTTTCTTTCTACTCTACCATTCTGTTGAGGTGTTTCAATGCAAGATGTTTGATAAATGATGCCATTAGTTTTGAAGAAATCATGTAAGAAGAATTCAGAACCATTATCTGATCTGATGCATTTGATCTTTTTGTTAAATTGATTGAGTATGAGATTAAAGAAATGAGGTAAATAATGTTTAGTGTCTGATTTGTGTGTTAAAGGATACACCCATGTCACCCTGCTATAGTCATCAACAATAGTAAGGAAATATCTATGACCAGAGTGAGATGGAACAGAAAAGGGACCCCATAAATCACAATGTATGAGATCAAATGGTGCAGATGCAATGGAAATGCTGTTATTGTATGGCAATCTTTTCTGTCTTGCATAATGGCAACAATCACAGGGCATGGAAAAAAAGTTTTTACAATTGATGGAAGAACACTCAGGAATACATGAAAGCTTATGGAAAGATAAATGCCCTAATCTAAAATGCCACAATTCAGCAGGAGAAGGTACATGAGGCAAATTAGAGACAACATTAGTCTGATTACAATCAGTTACATGGGAATTAGCAGCTATGACAGCAGTACAATCATTAAAGGAAAGATGATAGAGACCATTCTGAGCCTCAGCAAAACCAATCATTTTGTTGGTTTGCAGCTCCTGTAAAGTGCAATAAGATGAAGCAAATTTTACATAACAATTGTTAGTAGTAGTGAGCTTTGAAACTGATATGAGGTTAAAGGTAAAGTTAGGAACATAAAGCACATTTTGCAGCACAAGATTAGGCCCCAGATTTATCTGTCCCACATGGCTTGCAAGTGTGTTATGTCCATTTGGTAAATTGATTTTGATAGAAGTAGGGGTGGGAGGTTTTGAAAAAAATGAAGGACCACAGATCATGTGATCAGTGGCCCCTGTATCAAGAATCCATGTATTTTTGGTAAATGAAGAAATGGACTGGCAATTTAATGAAAAGGTACCTTGCTGCTCTATGTGATCAGTGGCAGCTGTGGGAGTTGACTCAGCCTGAGCCTTTCCCTGAGAATTTTTATATTCTAAAAACTCAGCAAACAATTTGTCAGTCATTGAAGAAGTGAAGGTGGGAGTAGGGTTATTGGAGACAACAGCATTGGCAGAAGGTTTTGTGTTTGAGGATTGTAATGAAGGGTGAATTCTAGGTCCTTTGGGACCAATCCAATTGGATGGATA